AACCCCGATAAAAACCTGTAGGAAATAAAATCCATCTTCAAAGAGGAGTTCAACTCCCAAAGAGCCCCTTTTAAACCTGTCACGTTTGTGTCGTCCGGTGAGACAGTAAAAATAAGGAGATATATAGCACTAATAAATAACTCCACCATGGTGCCAAGCCCCAAGTTAAGGTTTACAACTGGCTGTAAAAACAAAGCAAAAGGAAGGGTAGGAATCTGTTTAGTGGGGTATAAATGGCCAACGGCGTGCCATTTGGTACATTGCTGTTTTTGGACAAAATGCTGGGAACGCAAAAATGAACACAAAGAGAATTATCCTAAAGGAGGAAGAGAGTTCAAAGCTACAAATGCACTAAGTTCAAAACCTCCATAATAACCTTTAATTGTTCTTCACTGAATACTGCAAGGGAGTGTAAAGTCTTCTTTTCTTTATTATTGTTTTCATGCAAAAATAAAAGGTAACATTTAACAAAAAACAAACGATATAACTTATCCTTCGAAAACACTGAAGGAATGATCGTGTTTACCTGGAATATTTTTGCTCTGTAATTACAAAAGTTGAATCCATATATCCATCTTAAGTGCTTTGGCTACAACAAATCCTGTCAAAAAGCTAATATGAAAAACTGTGTTCATCTCAGAAAGCAAATATTACAAAATGTTTTATTTATTTATATAACACAAGGACATTTATCCAGGACCCTATATACAACATTGCCTCTTTCTTTGCGATCTTAATGCCAATCAATAGGCAACCCCTTACTATTTATTAGTTTAAAACATTTCTACCAACCCACATGGCCTTTTGAGCATTATTAAGCATCCAAACAGTCGGTCTTATTTAGTGTGACAAATAAATTTGAGGAAAATCTAATGCCAGCCTCCAGAGCAAGGGTGTCCAAAGTGGGGTCAGGGATACATCTGTCCCTTTTTCATGAGCTTTTTCTGTAATTTACAAGAAAATAAAAAAAAATCAAGCTGAATCAAAATGCAAGATTAAATATTGCTGCTATAAAAAAAAACATCTTGTTCCTTGGCTCCAAATCATGCATGTATATATAGAGATTTATTTATTTGTCCTGTTTATCGTATATAAGTCATAACCTTAGATACTGGGTTATTTGTTAAAATCTTAATGCAATAGAATAATTACATTTCTATCCTTCGATCATAAAAACAGGTTTAGGTCTGACTACCCCTCTTGATTTGGTTGCAAAAAATGTTCTTTTTTTCAATCACATTTTTTGCTACCATCATCTGACTTTTGTGAAGGTCGTGCAACGATCTTTCCTCTGACGTTTTCGGCCTCTACGTAAGGTAATGTCACTGCATTCCCACAACAAAATGCAGAACCACAAAGGTTTCAGAACAATCTAAGCCAGTTCTTACCCTAGAGAAAAAAACTAATAATATTAGAACTTATAGTTGTTAGCCCTAAAATCCCCATCTTTGGAACCAGTAAATGTTTTAACAATAACTAGATTTTTTAAAAATCAGCTCAGAAAATAATGTGTGGACTTAGTTTTAATTTATCAAATTCATCATCTTAGCTGTTGTGGTTGTTTGCAATATTTTTTCTTCTTTTTTTTTTATCTTTATCTTACCTCGACTTATTGATATCAGTAGTAAGTTTAACTAAATATGAATCAAAATATACAGTATACTGTAATCCTTTTGGTATTGTTTTTTCAAAGGCTCAACTATACAGAACTGTGTAGTTGAGTCTTTACATTTGTTTAGATACATGTTGATAGAGATTTTTGGTTAGGAGGAAATAATTTTATTTCTTTTACAGACACATTTGTAAAAGATTGTAAACTTGACCACATGACTGATTTATTTTTATCAGCATGGTTTTAAAAAAAATATTCTGAAAACTATTGTTCATTTTTTGGGTCAGAATTATTTTCACAGTTTATGGGGAGAGGAGGTATTAATGATCAGCAGAATTAACTTAAGTCTACAAGTTGTCAATTTAAAAAAACAGCCTTTTATGTTGTGTTGTTAGTCTCATATTGTCTCCATGTTGATGTCTCATACCCTCAGATAACCATCAGTGACATTTAAATCACATTATATTATAATCCAAGATAAATTGATCAGCATTCAGGGATTCAAAAACTCATAATAGACTGAGCAGAAATGACTGAATTTATAGAGATGACTGAACTTGTTGGAGTACATAAAAAAATGTGATTCCTGCCAAATGGAAAGAGGAGAGGGAACGAAGAGGAGCTGAGGGAGGATGAAGATGAGGAAAGAAAAAAGGGGACAGGGAAACACTGAGCTGGGAGGGAGGTCCATCAGCAGCGGCAGGCTGCAGGAATGTTTCACATGCCTGTCCTCTGTATGACCTCGCCTCCCTGTAGTGTGGGAGATACTGGGAGTAATTAGCCTCTTTTAACATTGGAGCTGGGCCGCCTTTCCGCCTCAATGGGGTTAGCAGTGGCATTGAAGGAGATCAAGTGTATAATTTCAAACAAAGTATCTTCAGCTTTCATTTTGGCCACTACAGGCAATGCATATGCAGATTCTTCTTGTGATTGTTTTTGTGTTAGTAGTTTTCAGTCATTTCCAGTTGAAAAATAAAGTGAAATTACTTCAATTAATTGAAAGCAGAAGCGATTTCCTTCCCCCACCCACAGAGCCATCTTGCTGCTGACCTACTTTATCTTCTGTTAGATTTAATTATGAACTCTCAGACTGAAAATATTTCTTACTTAAAGTCAAGGATTAAGGATCAAAACAGACATAAATTAAGAAAAACAGGGTATAAACTGTATTGATTTTTTGTAAAAAGGCCACGTGGTTCTAATCAAGAAATGTCAATACAGGAACACAAGAGTTACCTGCTTTACCTCAGTGCCTCCCGTTAAAAAAGAAATGTCTCCTCTTTAAACTTAAACTCTAAATCCAAGACTCCCATACACTCTGAGGTATAAGTATGAAAGTTGTTAAATGGGAAAGTTATGTCCTCTAAAGAATGATGTATAAAGAATAAACCTAACAAAGTACAATCTGTTTATATCAAACAAATTGTTAAATTCCTATTATTTAAGATTTCATTATTTATTTTTTTTACATTTCATGAACCTGCAGTTTTTTTTTATTTAAATGATACTTGCAGCATTTAAATCAATTTTAATAATACTTTCACTGAGAAAAATCCGATCAAATCTGAGCTTTTAGCCAGATTTACTGCTATCAAATAAAATAAGAGCTTTCAAAACAATTTCAAAATGCATAACTAAAAATGATTACTATGTATGATAACCCGCCTCATCAAATACCAAGCCTTTAGGTTGATCTTAGACTTAGCAGCTCCTAAACTCTTAGAAACATTAAAATTTTATCTTTGGACATTTTTAAGCTGCATAATTGATAGTAAAGAACTTCAAAAGTTAACTGTATGAAACTTTATATTTAGGAGAGCCTTGAGTTACACTAATTTATTACTGAGTCCTTAAAACACACACAGTGCTTTCTAAGGTACACCCCTGATGGGCTTTACAGTTTAGGCTGGCTTATATTTTTCAGCAACCTATATTCATCTTATCTTTTACTCAAGGTAACAGGAGCATTAAAAAAGATATACCTGTGCATGAAATGTTTCAGTTTTTAAGAACTCAAGTGCAGGAAAGCAGGGATGTATGTTCCTCCTACTGGAGCATGGAAAACTGGAAGGACTTCCTCAAAAGCCACACAGCAAATAAGGGTTCTGCCTAAAATATATATCAGAGTCAATCTACAATAACATTGTCATGTTTTTCTTGCTTTAATATTGATGTTAAACCTGTTGTAAGTCCTTTTATATATATATATATATATATATATATATATATATATATATATATGAAATGTTAGAAATGTTAGGCGTGTTTTGGAAATAGTGCAGCACAATTCTAGTTATGATAGCAGTTTATGGATTTATTTAAATGTATTTTTTAGCTTATTTACCGTACATGTAGATTAACAGATGACTAAAGAATACAAAATCTGTAGCACTGGGCATTATAGTAAATCCAGAAAAAGATAAAGTAGGGCTTTAATTACTGGTCAATTTAAAAACATACTTGTATTTCATATATGTATCTTAATAAACTTCGTGATTTATTTGTGTTTTTAAAAGAAAAAAAAACAATAGAAGGATCAATTAAAATGCAGTTTCTTTTATTTACTATTTATCTTGTATTTTATTTACAAATAAAATAGAAAGGGAAAAATAAAGATATATATGTAAGTCTACATATGCACACAAGGATATAAACTATGCAGGAAAAAAAATAAAAAAAAGTTAAATTCGCTGTAGTATCCTGCTTTCATTAATAACAATTATAAAACATTTTTCATATTTGTATTAGGTTCATCACCTTCTATTCTATTCTCAGAAGCTGTAACCTGAATAAAGGACAGTATAGCCTACAGGAGATTGAACGTGTCTCACTTTAAAAAAAAAAAAAAAAAAATTGTGAAGAACTGGAGTTAATGGTATCTTAGATTCATCCTTTCTAAGGCATCATTTGTTTATTTACAAAGTTATTTAATTAACCTCCTTTTGGCTCAGATATTTGTTTGTATTACCGGTATTTCCTCGAGTAAATTTTCCAAGGTCTTTCATACATTTTTGAAAGAAATTTGTGGCTTCTCCTAAATTAGAACCTGGCTTCTCTAATTCCAAACTCATTCTGAGATCCAACATATAGCAGCAGCTTTATTGTTAATGCAGTTTGTAATGTAGGCGTTAGATTTCCCTGGTTAGTTGTTGGTGTTGTCTGATATTTTAAATTGTAAAACGCTTAAAAAAATGACAATTTTTAAATAAATGTTTGATGTAAATGGAGGAATCTAATATTTTTATCACACACCACTGGTCACTGGAGGTTTGTTACTGGTTTTCAGTGCTGGTGATGATGTCACAGTGAAGCTGGGTCATATGAAGGGCAGCAGTGGAGGAGGTTCACGGAGAGTTCAGCCGCATACATTAGGTAATACCACCGCACGCCGTGACATAACTAGTGCGGAGCATGTGAAGTTTAGGCATTTATCAATGAAAAAGTGAAGATAAGAACAAATCGTTCAGTAAACTTTGTTATGCAAAACAACCCGCAGACCTGGATGCGTGGAAGCGCGCGGACTTCATTGCGCACGCGGCGCGCCAACAGTTTGTGAGCTACGGTGGAAGAAATTAAAGGTCTGTTCCGGCGCGCGCACGCCCCTCATGGTGTGATGATCCTGCTGCCTGGTCTGCTGTTAAACAACCGGTTGTAAACTATAAACCTGGCAAAAGCGGACTGAAAGTGGTTATTCTCAGGAGGAACTCCTTTTTGTTCTTCTTCTATCTTCCATGTGGAGGACATCCTCTCCAGCAGGACTCCTCTGGCCAGGTCATGTTTGACTTCATGGAATTTCAGGTTTTCGCTCCAGGAGAAATCATAGATTTTTACTCGGCTTCCAGTCCTGGCTGCGCGCTGCAGGATCTGGACCAGGACCAGGATTTGGCAGCATTCTTCCCAGAGCTCATTGGGTCGGGCTGGCCGGAGCATCGCTGCTCGCAATGTAGGTGGAAACGCACAAGTGCCTGCATGTGTGAATAACATGGAAAATAACCTCTAATCTGATGCTTATAAGGCTTTTTGGAATTGTGTTCTATTTTTATTTTTTTTTTTTTGCAATTTAATCCGTGCTCCCTCTTTGCAGAAGCGTAGGCCTATTATTTTAATAAATTATAGCACTGATGGACTAACTTATTAATATAACTGAAGATGAGAATTCAAAATAATGAAGGAAAAGGTTGGATGTGCATTCATTTATTTGTTTGTTTCACTTTTAACTGTTTTCTGAAAACATAATTGGGTAAAAATACACAAAAATTTAAATTAAATTTTTTGTCATAGGGGATGATAGCTGGTTCTGTATTTAGCAGGTCTTGTCTATGTGGTTTGGTGTTTCTTTCTGATGTTTATTAGTATGATTTCTATTTAATTGTTTTTTTTTTTTTTTT